TCTTGGAGTCCCTGGGAAGGGTGCTGGAAAACGATACGACTGGGGACTCCGTTGTTCTACTGGGGGACTTCAACACTCACGTGGGCAGCGACAGTGACACCTGGAGGGGCATGACTGGCAGGAATGAACCCGATCTGAACCCGAGTGGTATTTTGTTATTGGACTTCTGTGCTAGTCACAGTTTGTCCATAACGAACACCATGTTTAAGCATAAGGGTGTCCATCAATGCACATGGTAGGTAGGTAAGTTATTGATCCCACAGTGGGGAAATTTCTGTTAGAGTAGCCAGGGATCGATTCTGGGGCCTTTGCTGTTCTCATTATATCTATTACCTCTTGGTTCCATCCTGAGAAAGCATGGTGCCCTTTTTCATTGTTATGCTGATGACATTCAGATTTATATGCCGCTCAAGAGGAGGGATAACTTTTCAATTAGGCCACTATTGGCGTGTCTTGATCACGTCAAGGACTGGATGACACTAAACTTGTTAAAACTTAATAAGACAAAAACTGAAGTAACGGTGTTTTACACAGATAGGTCTGGTGACCCACCCTCAGTTGACTTAGGTCACCTGGAGCAGAATGAGAAACAGACGATCCTGAATTTGGGCGTAAAAATTGATTCTGGTCTGAAGTTTGATCGCCAAATTCATGCTGTTGTGAAATTTAGCTTTTTCCACCTTAGGCAGATAGCAAAGGTAAAGCTTTTTCTTGCACACCAGCACTTTGAGACAGTAATCCATGCATTTATTACATCGCGTCTGGATTACTGTAACGCTCTTTATGTCAGAGTCGGCCAGTCGTCACTGGCTCGTCTACAATTGGTTCAGAATGCGGTTGCCCATCTCTTGGCTGGGGTGCGTAAAAGGGAGCATATAACTCCTATTTTGGCATCCCTTCATTGGCTTCCAGTGTCTTTCAGGATTCATGTTAAGATTCTTTTATTTGTTTTTAAATGGTCTTGCTCCATTGTACCTTGCTGAGCCTTTATTTCCTTAATAGTCCCTCCCGGTCAGCACCGGGAGGGACTATTAAGGACTATTAAGGACCAGCTCTTGCTGGAGGTACCGAGGGCTAGGCGTAAACTCAGAGGGGACAGAGTGTTTTCCATTGTGGCTCCTAAGCTATGGAATGCGCTGCCCCTTTACATCAGGCAGGCGCCCTTGTTGGCTATTTTTAAAACTTACTTGAAGACTCATTTGTATGCCTTGACGTTTGATATGCTATGAGACTCTGTTTGGGCTAGTATTTTGTTATTTTGCTATATTGGTTCTTTTATGTTATTTTATTGGTGTTTTAATAATGTAGTTGTCACGTTTTTAGATGTTTTGAATTGTATCTTAAGTTAAGCACTTTGTTGGCCTCAGCTGTGTTAAAGTGCTTTATAAATAAAGTTGAGTTGAGTTGAGTTAAAATAAAAAGTTACATAAAGGCAACAAATCATTAGGACCGATACGCACAAGGATTATAAAAGTAGTGTCATCAGAAGGTACCAGGACACCCTAGGCCAGAGGTCGATGATCAACTTTGTGGTTGTTTCATCTGACCTCCAGCCGTATGTTTTGGACACTTGAGTGAAGAGAGGAGCGGAGCTGTCAACCGATAACCACCTGGTGGTGAACTGGATCAGATGGTGGGGCAGGAAGCTGGACAGACTTTGCAGACCCAAACGTATTGTGAGGGTCTGTTGGGAACATTTAGCAGAATCCCCTGTCAAAGAGATGTTCAACTCCCACCTCCGGTAGAGCTTTGACCAGATCCCAGGGGAGTAATGTCTCTGGTGCCTGTTGCGGTGGCAATCCCTGATCCTGGTGGTGGATACTGGAAGTAAGGGATGCCTTCAAGCTGAAGGAGGAGTCCTTTTGAGCCTGGTTGGCTCGTGGGACTCCTGAGGCAGCTAACGGGTACCGGCAGGCCAAGCGGACTGCAGCCCAGGTGGTTGTGGAGGCAAAAACTCGGGCCTGGGAAGAGTTTGGTGAGGCCATGGAGAAAGACTATAGCTTGGCCTCGAAGAAATTCTGGCAAACCGTCCAGCGCATCAGGAGGGGGAAGCAGTGCCCTGCCAAAACTGTTTACAGTGGAGGTGGGCAGTTGTTGACCTCGACTGGGGACATAGTGA